GAATTTGGCAACAAGTCAAACCGATTTCCTTACTAAATACTAAACCCGGTTGGCTAGCTTCCGCATGCATGTCCGATAGCAATTCGATCATTATTGAAAGACTTCCTTTGCCCACTTCATGGGAGAACCGGGAGATGAAAGTAGTAGCCTCGGAGGATGACCTGAGAATGAGATTAAAATCGCATTAAGAATTTCCTTTCCATTGTTAGATGTCGATATCGATAGAAAGAAATTAGGAGCAGAGATGGGATTGCATGAGCACTTCCTAGGCGAGGCACATGCTATGCTATTCATTAAGACGACACGAATAATGCGAAGGTTATGAAGGGGGAATTAGAAGAAGTTGTTCGAACATATGGTTCATAGATGAATACTATTAAAGAGGATTTCAAATTAGTATGCTATCTCCTGCCTCGACATCCCATCCGGAAGTGACGAGAGCTCTTTTATCATGGTGAGACCGAGATTCTATTTTGTCACCCATTGCACTTCCTATACCACCTGGTGGGAACCCGAGGGGGTTGAAAGACGTGGCCTTTCTCGGTGGAAGAGCAAAACCCCAACCTATCTCACAAAGAGAAGCTGGTTCAGAGAGAGTTCATGGATGAGCGAATGGGAGGGATCCGGGGAAGGTGCCGCTCGCGCTAATGAAGCTCGGGTGATTCTCCTACAAAGGGCGAAGCCGTGTCTAGCCATATCCGACATTGATTTCTAATGCCGAGTTCCCTGTCAATAACCACGAATTCACCGGACTCTCTAGTGGTAAGGGGAAAGCCCTCCTTTCCCTTATGCTGGGATGAGTTGAAAACGTTGGATTGACTGACCTTCTCATCGTCGGTTCATTCACTGGCTCATTCGCGGGGCATTTGAGTTTGCTAAGAGGCCCACGGAGCGGCCCTTTCAATCCACCCGGGAAAAGTGTGGAAAACTGCTGCTTTTATTATGATAACGAAGAAAGTTTGTTTTCGAGAATGGCGCATTGATATCTTCTATCCAAGGATCTTCATCTGAGCGAGAGGTAGAGATGGGCATAGCTGAACCAACTCTTTCCTAGACTGCTGGCAACCTGGGCATTGAACTATCTGAATTGTTCTCGGCTGCCCCCCACAAGGTACATCTCCATCGACAAGTCGAGTCTACTATTGCGTTAAGAACTCCCTACCTAACCTAAAAGGGTTCTATCTATATGCACACAGGTAAAGGCGCCTCTATCACTAATTCGAAAACCTCTTTCTATGGGTAGAGAGTAGCTCACGGCTTGGCTGGCTATAATGCAATTTTCAATTAGTAAGCCGAGCCGCTTATCTTGAATGGCGGCGGTCGTACGATATTCACTGATATCTCCGGTCAACCGAGATCAAAGAGTCTCGTCCTCCCCATTCAATGTTTTATCTTTCTCCGGGCAGGGAAAATCAGACTGCTTCCAAGGCTGGTTTAAAAAAAGAGAATCCAGGTTTTTACAAAGCCTTATCCTTCCCATTCCTTGCTCTTGTTATGCCATAAGGAAAGGCGGCGAAGCCCCTATTAAAGCTTCTCACCACTCTGTGGTGCTTGATAGGAACGAGCCGACTAACGTATGCTAGAATCGCGCGCAACAAGCTTGCTTCTGCTAGGCTAGGGCGGCTAGAGGTCTAATCGGATAAACTATTCCACTATTGGGACTACTACTGACTCGGTGGTATTCTCAGTCGGTGAAAAGCCTCGCTTCGCTGCAATAACACAGGGAGTTGGCCCTAGAAGAGGATACTTCCTCTGACATTCTCAACTTATACCAGGGATCTAACTAGTGAAGCCTTACCTTCAGTTAAAGATTAGAAAAGCCTTCGCCCTACTAATAGTCCTTCCTATCTCGGATTCGTTGAACTTTCACTCAAGCTTGAGTTCCCGCTCAAGCGAAGACTCAAGAACTAGAGGAAATAAACCTCTTACCTTAGGACAGCCACATTCCTGGAGTTCTATTTAGTAGCTAGCTTTTTTTTTTTTAATCTTTTATCTTCTTTTCTATCCTCTCGTCTAGTTTTGGAACTGTTGTTTAAGTCGTTTTGCCTCTTCTTTCAATCGTTCAGCTTTTCTCAGTCCGACCAATATATGTTTTACATTGAAGCTTATGGTCTGAAAGTCTTCAACCTTGTCTAGATAGGCTGCTATGACCGAACGTTCTGTAATGGCAGAATTTTTCATCACCAGCTTCAAGAGTTTGATGAAAAATATCCACATTTCCTTCATATATCGGTACTTGGATTGTCCACAAAGAATTTTGTACGTCTCGAAATCTGGTTGTTGAGGATATTCAGGAGATTTAGATAGCATGTTTCGATCGCGCCCAGCGACCACTCAAGTTTTATAGCTTATTATGGCATAGGAACATGTGTCCCTCTCTCTGGTCCACCCCATACCTTCCCCATGCACGGGTTACCTTATGCCTGGCGCGTTCGGCTACTACTAATTTCGGGGGTGTCTCCAATCCAATTATTCCTGTGAATCTATGGAAAACCATGGGATCTAGAATGACCTACCGGACAAAAGACGCAGGTTTTCTCTCTCCGGCGATGTTCGTGAATCTTCGGGAAACCTCGAGAATTCACAGTGAGCTCCCACATAGTTTAACCTATTTTTCTTGTGCTGTCTAGACAAAAATTCGATAATTTATGCTAAAAGCAAAAGCACCAAAAAGATAATGATGATGACGTCCCATGACTCCCTAGTAAACCCTTTGGGCTTACAAGCAAGGTTTCAAAATTGGACTTAAGTTGGATTGGGACTTATTAAGAAGAAAAGATTCTCTTTCTTATCATTATGTATATATGTATATCTGGATCTTTTTTATGATTTTCTAGGGGCATATTGCCTTGTATTGTATCAGGAATATTCTATTATTTTGCTGCCCTCTGTTGATGTATATATTTATTTATCAGGAATACTATATTATTTTATTCTTATAATTTGAGATTTTTAATGGTATCAGAGCCTGGGTCGTTTCCAGGCTTCCCTCAACCATCAGAGAAGCATCTTGGTTCCCTGCATCATCCATCCCTAAGAGAGCTTGTCGCAGAGGCAAGCAAAAGACTAAAAGGAAGGGATGAAGTAACCTTCTTGGATACCTGCTTTAATAGTTCTAAAAGATCAGTCGTCTCCCAAAATATTGATTCTTGGATAGCTTGTTCTGGACTTTCCTATAGGTTCTGCAGAGGCAGGGGAAGAGCTGAAGAAACACACTCTTTTTGGGGTAGACCCTTCTCAAGCAGAACCAATTCCTTAGTGGCTCGCTAGCCGGCCATGGCTATCCTTTAGTTAGTGCTGGACCGCTTCACCGCTTTATTAAGTATGTCTTCCTGTAGTCACAATTTACTTGACTAACCAACCTGAGCTATCGTAAGGTAACCATAGGTTGACTGCCGAAAGGTCTCGGTTCTTACCAAGCGAAGAAGTCTTTGATTGCAGCGAAGAATTGATCTGAAACGAAGCACTTCGTCTATGGGCATTGTAGAAAGGATAGAATATGATCCTAATCGTTCTTCTCGGATCGCTCCAGTACGATGGATCGAGAGGGTGCAGCTACGCCGGTAGAGGAAATGCAACACTATAGAGGAGTTCACTCTGCCGCGTAAGATCCTCGAATCTACCACGACCACCATCCGCGGCCTATTTTCATTCTCTTCCCTTCCCGGGAAGGTGGATCAAAGAAAGGTAGCTTGCTTCTCTCCTGGACTGATGGCGGCTTATGTAGTGGTCGGCCTTCCTACCAGAATGCCTCCTTGGTCGAAGAGCCCATTTACTAGTAAGGGCGTAGGAAGCATTCGTTATCAGAAGCTCGGAGGGTGAACCCTGTCTGTAGCTGAGTACGGCTTGTGCGCGGAGGGAACTCAAACCTTTCTGGCAAAATGCTTTGAATAACTATCCTTTCGTACAAGCATAGGACATAGCATCATTACTGTCTATCCTTAGGTAGGATGATTTCTATAGACGGGACATAAGAGATGATAAGTTAAAGCCATTAGAGCCGAGTTAGTTGTGGATTGGAGTTTAGACATAGTCCAGAGAAGAAGTGGGATAAAGATAAAGAAAGCGGTCTTACAGAAGCGGCTTTAGGAGGTGTTCAAAAGACAACATTTAACCCCAGGGGAAAGGACGAAGATAGAAGATAGACTGAGCATTCCAGAGGGGATAGAAGACTACGAGACTTCAAACTAATGTCCTTCTTCCTCTTTTCCAGGTTCCTTGTAGAGTCTATCTACTTCGGTAACAGGAAAAGCAAAAACTTACTACCACATAGCATTCGTAGATAGGACTTTGCCCTCATTCCTTCTAGCTATTCTTCTTATCTTTTAGAAAAATCCATTTCCGTCAAGACTTCCCCTTTCTTTATGGCTGCGATCTTCCTAAACAGGATTGAACTATATATATATATATATATATATATATTTTATGCTATTCCCCTGCCCCCAATACTGACTGATCAAGCCAGTTGTAATCCATCCCGCCTTAGCGAGGGCTTCTTTCCCTTTCCATTGGGATTTGTGAAAACAGAAAGAAAACTGAGCCCTAAGATCATTTATCGATTCACAGCTTCTCTTTCCTTCTTAGCACTACGTTAACAATAGCAAAACTAGCTTCGAATCTTCCTATTGAATTGAGTTTGAGTCGGGTGATTGAACTCCGAAATCATTTTATCAGTAAGTTCCTTCGATCCCCGGCCGTTATCGAGAAAGAGAAAGATAGACTTTTGGCTTTCTCCTTTTATACCGCTCCTGCCTTCCCTTTTTGGTACGAGTTTCAATTGGCATAACTTTAATTAAATGGATTAGCCTACCATTTTCCTGAGGGTGGCAACCTAAAGTTTAGATAGAAAAGTCCTCTCTTTCTATTCATAGAGAATCAATCCTCAAACTAAAAGGAGTTCAACTCCGTCGTCCGATCTTAAGATGTTAGGTTCTTTTTAAATTAAAAAAAAAGCATTCAAAAGGAGGAAAGATAGTCATAAAACACTAGTATTGAAGGTAGCATTTCACCAGCTTACATTGTAACTATATATATATGGTAGATCCCTAGCTAAGGGAGACTTCCTCTTTTCACGACTAAGCCGAAATCTTTTCCTTGAGCACTTGAGCAAAGGACTTTCTTATAGGGTGCTAGAGAGGGTGATGGAAGAGCTATCTATAGCTATCGTGTACTTGCTTTCTCTTATTTCTCTTTCGTTAACAGGTTCTTCCTAGTATGCATGGGTATCTCGTGTGAGTAGCTCCATAACTATGGATTGAATTTTTTCTTTCATGAGGGTTTGCCTGTAGTTAGGGTATTTCCTTTCAAAGTAGTTAGGAAGCCAAGATCTTAAATAGCACTCCAACGAGCTAAGAGTCGGTCCTGTCCTAAAGGCATATAAGTTCTACCAATCCCCTTCAATCAAGTATGTGGTCGAATCTATTGCAGCTTTCGACTGGGCTGTTGTCCGTCGAGGTGAAAAAAATTCCTTACTAAAGGAAGAAGTGAATTGAAGAGTCTAGAGTATGGACTTTTTCTTTCTCGTAGCTAACGCTCTAGTTGAGCAAACTAACTTCCTTTTTGCCTAGAATCCGGCACTCCCCCGTCTGAAGGGTTACATGGAAAGGAGAGGTTTAAGCTTAAGAAAGAGCTATGAGACTCGTAGAAAGAAGAAGGCAGTAGGAAAGATTCGGCGTCCTTCTTACCTTCTTTCTTGAGAGGGAATAGTGCTTACTTTCACTTTCCTGGGAGCTTCGTAAGGCAAGGAAGTAGTAAGGAAACACTTGGCTGCCTAGCCCCTTCTTTCCTTATCTAATGACATAGATAGAAAAGTCTTTCTTGCCTAGCATTAGGAGAGTGATAATTGAGTCACGACTGATTCAAGCCCGTCACGAGGTGCCAGGGTAGACTTCTAAGCAAGATCGAGTATAGAGTGAGGAAATCCTTAGTCAGAAAACACAAGAAGAGAAGTAGGTAGCCGTTATCAGTCCACCGAAAGTGGTCAATCAAGCTCCGCACCTTCCCTTACTAAGCTTCGTAAGGCCAGTTGGAAAGAACACACACAACTAAAGCTGTACTTTTAGAATGCTGATGTATGGAAGGCATCAATCATCCCAGAACTAACCGATCCAGCTGTAACGTAGTCAAACAGTAGGTCATCCAGATTCGAAACTGACTTGGGAGATTAGGACAGTCACTGGCGAGCTTAAGGTAGAAACCCAATGCTTCACACTAACCCAATCGGAAGCAAAATCAGTGACACACGAAAGCCAAGAGCATCGGTGACGGGGTCAACATCCTTCTGAGAGGACCGCTCTAGTTGTTGAGAATGGTACAGACCCTACGCTTCGTTACATACAGCTAAATAAAGCCCCTCAAAAGCATCTCCATCCGAATATATATAAAGAATCATCTGTTAAGACAGAGTTTGTAGTAGTTTCATTTCCACCAAGGAAAAGAGCTAAATGAAAAGGAAGAAAGGGTCCTTACCCTAATTCGTAAGGAATCTCGAACTGAGTCTGATCTTTCTTCTTCCTTTCCCTAATGCCTAAGCCTAATCATGCTTTTCACATTCCATTCAATGAGTGGAATCGGTCATTGAAAGAGTCTTTCTAAATTCAATTTCCTTTCACTCATCAGTCCCTTCTTGCCTAGGAGCTCTTGTCTTAAAAGACGAATACGAGTTAGCAGGGCTGTCCCCAATAGCTCTTGTTGAATGGACATCTGAGATGATGAGATGAGAACGAAATTAGCGCTCTGGTGGCCCTGTCCCTGTTCTTGTACTTGCATATGCCTATTCTTCTACAATTATCCTTGGTCTTCGCTAAAGGCGCCTAAGCTAATAAGAGATTTTCTTTTGTTGATGTGCCATGTATCCCATTGGACTGCGATGCGGCATTACCACTACTACAGAATAAGGCATTCTTGCAGCAAGAGCTTGCATTCTCTTCCTCTTCGCCCCTTCCTTTTCCTTAGTCCTGTCTTCGCCTTTATAACTGACCGATTGCACTAAATGAAGGAAGAAGGCAGGAGATCGACCCTCATTCATTGCTCTCTTTCTTATTCGTACACGACTCCATATCATACAATTATACCCCTAATCCATCTTGACTTTCTCCCTTTTCTCCCCTTCCATTTCAGTCCTACAGGTTGGAGTTTTTGCTAAGGTAAGGGAATGCCTATAAGGAAATAAGTCCTAACCCCAATTCATCAGTTCCTGCCCCTGATGAGCCTGATTGTGTCAAAGTTCCAGTTATTGCAGTAGCAATCCCGGGTGCTTACGAGCCAGTGGAAATTGGACTTTCATTTCTTTCACAGGAACTAGTTCCATTCTTCCTTCTCTCAATCAAAGGAAGGGAATGCAACCTTGATCGATCGGAAGAAACCTCCATGGCAACAAGAAAGAAGGCCATAACCGATCCAAGTCAGCCAAGCATACCAGCCAGGGAGCCAAAAGAGAGTGAAAGCGAGCATAGGCAGGTCATTCTTTTAGATTTATGGTATAGCGTAGCTAGTGAGTGAACAATGAGGCTATGCTTTCTACAAGGCACTGTAAGCTCATGGTCAATCCATTCATCGAACAAGATCCCTTCATCGGAAGGAAAGAGGAGACGAGGACGGGTGTAATCTTCACTCACCGAAGATTATTCTCTTCACATAGATCTTGGGATACGAGACCTTCCTTCAACTACGAACTAAGCCTTGAAAGTTGAAAGAAAGGAGTAGCGAAATGAAAGAAGAAGGGAATTCCTTGATGGATAGTCCCATCCCAATCCAATACGAAAACTAGTAATGAGCCCCTTTTTGTTGTGGGCAGCAGAGATTAGATTCTTATTCTTCTCTTTGCTTTGGTACCAGCCTTGATATCTCAATCTTGCAAGGCACGACAGGCATCGGAACGAACTCCGCGGAGAGCCACTCTTTGGTCCAATAAAGAGACAGATCAGTATCCATATAATCTATCTATAAAGAGGCAGTCTGCCGCATCAAGAAGAAGCGCACATCTTTTTTTCGAGAATCTATCCCTTTTCTTACCGGAAGTGACATAAAATAATATCTCCATAAATTAAAGGAAGATTGGACAATGGGGATCTTTACCTAAAGGTGCAGAGCGAAGTCTGCATTTCTTGCTAGTTCTTCTCCCAGTCTCAGACTTAGCCTTTTAGCCGATTCGCACCTTTACTCTCTGTCTCAATCGATCCCTTTTTAGTTAGGGTCAGATCAATAGAGAAGTCAGGCACTCGATAGACTTAAAGGAAGGTTCCGCCCATAAATTGATTGATCAATGTTACCATTGATAGGGGAAGCAGCAACAGAGATAGATTGAGTGCTAAAGCTTCTGTCCCGTAACGGTTGATCCGTCGGATTTTCGCCTTCAATGACCTATTGTAGGAGGTGGCCTTCCCAAGGCCAGTGGACTGGTGACAACAGTACCATAATGGTTTTTATTTTAAAGCAACACAGGTTACCGCGTGAGGTCGTGGTAGAAAGAATCTTGGTCGTGGTCGTAGTTCATTGGTGATTGTCAACAAGGGGAGTGGAAGTTTTTCAGGTAAGCCATACTTCCAAGGTGAGCCGTAAGGCGAACTATTAGAGTGTGTAAGCGTCTCTACTTTTCTTATAGTGGGTAGAGGGTTTCTGAGCTAACTGGCCATGTTGGTACCACCACAATTGTAGGAATTATTTCATTGATTGATCGACCAGTGGGATATTCTCTTACGTACAGAATGAACGGGCTTAACGAAGCTCTTCGATGCGCTTCGCGTCTCTATTTGTTCGTCCCAGTCTATGTTCGGGTCTCTCCTTCATTTCATGGCATGGCTCTCTCTTAGAGCCTTGTACCTTTATTCAATGAGATTTTTTTTAGGATGGGTGTTGCTTTCTTTCATGTTAGAATTTATCCCGCTGTAATAGATAGGAGTTCTCCCGGCCTTCTTTATGATAGTTGTGTTCTTTCTATTCCTTCCAGTCGAGGGAGAAGAAGGGTAAAAGCAAGAAAGGTAAGCATGTCATGTCGACGAATGCAAAAGTCTATCAATGTACAAGTCCACTTCGATAACCAAGCTATGAGGGAGTCTGAAGAGACTTCCAGTTCGCTGGACTTAGTTTTAGATACTCCAAGCCTTGTTATGTTAATTCTCTTCTGTAACGGATCTCGATATTTAATGTACAGGTCGGTTGGGAAGCTAATAAGACAAGCCAAGCGCTTAGCTTAGTTTGGCCGTTTACAATATTGAATACCGAAACAGAAAATTCCAGATGCCCTCAGACAGATGCCACTAAACAAGTAAAGGACAACAGACAGTATTCGTGGATCGGGAAGACCAACTCTCATTCAAGGAAGTGGACCGTTGACGACAGCAGGCCGGGAAGGACAAATGCTACTAATAAAGCCTATTCTGTTTTTCTTCCTTAGGCAAGACTCGGATACTGCATGCGAGAAGTAGAATAGTTTACTGAACTACTACTTAGATCTTGATTGATTTGGATGCAATGTTTATAATTACTCCAAAAAAAGCCATCCCATGAGTATAAATGACCCCACTACCTGTATAAAGCGTACATCTCTGCTCAAGGAGTAAGTCAAAGCTTTTTTATAAGAAAAGTAAAAAGCTGGAATCCGAGAAGACAAGACCCCCTAAGAGAGCGTCTTGTAAACCCATTATTCGATCTGGAGATCCCGGCAAGGCTGGCTGCCGGAGACATCACTAAACCCAGGGATGTCTCTTGCAAAGAAGAATTCGTAGAGATTTTCCCAGAACCCCAGTCCAGCCTACTCGACTGATATAATCTAGAATCCACTCTCCGCCCTTATTAGTAGTAGGCGAATAGTTACCCTATTTGTTTGTATGCGCATTTACACGACGGACATGTTTAAAGATCTTCCGCAACGATAACCTAACACATGGTTTATTGAGAGTAAGCTGATTAAATAAATGGATCATAGGTTGGTTGAATATTGAGTTCCGCTTAGGCTACGCGTTCTGTTAACGCGCTACTAAGCCGCACACAGGATCTTAGA